CCCCCCCCCGCCGTTGTGTGTGCTCACGACATTCCATCACCCTCCACGCACACTAAGATCCCTTGTGCTCGCTCACTTGCCCAGCACCCTCTACGCACTCTTCCCCTCCCCACTTTACACGTTTATTCCTGTTCCCCTCCAGCACACTCTGACCCCTCCACCCCATGTTCCACCCTGATCCCATCCTGCTCCATTTGGCCATTGCCCACCCCTCTTTCCTTGTATCTATCCCCTCCCACCCCATCCACGCACACTCGGATCCCTCCCTGCTCCTCCCTGACAGCACCGCTCCTGTCACCCTTTGCAATCCCTCCCTTTACCCCGGCAGGGTGCTGAGACTTGACCTGTCCCTCCATCCCCTCCTGCACGCTCTGGCGCTACAGCCCTCCTCCCAGACCCCCTCCCTGCAGATCCTGCTCCCCTTGCCCCCTCCCTGTACGAGTTCCTTCCACTGCAGCCAAAAAACCGCACCACAAGGTACAGATCAGCTCCTGACATACATACAGAGCAACGCTCCAGAAGGACTTGAGGAAAAAATATTTATAACAAAAAAAAACCCCAAATAAGCCTCCCTGCAGTCAGCATCACCCGTGTCCTGCCCACGCACCAGCTGCTTCTGTGATCCTGGGACCACCGCGGCCCCACGGCGACTTTCTCCATCACGCTGCCCCTGAGCCCAGCACCGCTGGTGGTGACTGAGTCAGAACCCCGTCCTGGTACTCCAGTCCGTCACAGACATCAAGACGAGCGGGCTGCTGGGACCCACGTCCCACGCTCTGCCTGCACTGGGTGTCACCTTGTTAAAAGGACACCCGAGACAAAGGGGAACATGGGAAGAGGAGAGAAGAAATGGAGAAATGTGGCTGGGGAAAGATGGAGTGGAACCTGGGGAAGGGGCGAGCGGAGGAGGAAGCAGGGACGCTCTGACTGAGCCAGCCTGCTGCAGGACACGAACGGACGGTGCTCAGCCACGCGGCAATGAGGATGTGCTTGATGCTGAGGACGTGCTTGATGCTGGGTGTCCAGCCAGAGCTCTGCGTGCTTCCACACGAAGGGATGGAGACTACGTGCCTTGTGCTTCTTCTCCCCTTGGCTCCTGCAGGGAGACCTCGCCATGCTGCTCGCCATCGTCACCTACACAGGGCACAGAGCGGCAGCATCTCAGCAAGAGCCAACAAACAGGAATTCCTCCTCCCTCCCTGGAAGACCCACAGCTTTGCTGGGGAGCAGGTGGCTCCCGCCCCAAAACTCGGCCAGCAGGCAGGCAGTGGGGCTCACCTTCTGCGAGGCCATTGAGGTAAGCAGCCTGGACGCTGTTCCCATTGACCAGCGCCAGCGCCTCGTGCTTGGCGGAGCTGCTCATGGTCTCCTCTTCCCCCTTCCCCTCATCGTCATCTTCCGAGTCCACCAGCACCAGGACATCACCCGAGTCCTGACTCCTGGGAAGAGCAGAGCAAGCGGAGGTGGGCTGAGACGCCGAGGCCAGCCTGTCCTGACCATCCTCTGGCTTTGACAACCCTCTGCACCAAACCCACCGGTTCTGATGGGCTCCTCCAACCCCACACTAACCGCCTCCAAAGAACAGGAGGTGTAAAACTCCGCTGGCAGCAACACCACCACCGACATCCTGCACCATTTGCCATTCCTCTGCCAAGTCCCACTCCACAAATATCCATGCACGAGCCTCCCCGAGTAGAGTTACTCTTCCCTCCCGTACAGACGGGGAACGGGAGGCACCCAGAACAGAGTCCTCCCATGCCGCAGCACCACAGCGGTGGGAACAGAACAAGGGTGAGGGAAGGGAGCGGGGCCAGGAGGGGTGTGAGCAGGAAGCAGAGGAGAAACCCAGTGGTCCTGAGCCGCAGGAAGGCACTGGCTCAGCACAGCAATGCGACACACTTCCTGAGGGGGGAAGGAGAGGGCAGACACCCCACAGCGCGGCAGCAGCTCACCATTTCTATTTACTCTAAGTCTTGGGGCTCAGCTGCACCAAGGAGCAGCTCTCCTGCACCGCCTCCTCCCACACTAACTTGCCAGCAGCCCCTGAGTGATGCCACTCCCGCTCTGATGCCAAGGGCTCTCCCCTCCCCTCATCCTCCCGCACCCACGCCGAGTCTCACGGATCCCCACCATCCCCTTCCCGCGGGAGGCAGAGCTCCCACCTACGAAAAGCTTTGCTCTGGGGACAGCTCCTGCCTCCGAGGTGGATTCTCAGCCCTCCAGGGAGCTCACCTCTGCCAGGAGGAGGACTAGAGAGGCCATGCAGGATGGGGCTGAGGAAAATAAACACTCACCTGAACCTGAATGCAGCACCTGAACAGGAGAGAAGGGAAGGGAAAAGTCAGCGCTAGAAACCGGCCCCAGACCAGTCCCCCGGACAGCACGCTGCTGGTTTTACTGTCCAGCCCCTGGCAATTCTGCCGGCAGTTGGATGGTCTCCGGCAGCCACATGTAGAGGAACAGACACGAAGGGGACCTGCCCACACATGCAAGGAGAGCCCCAGGAAGGTCACAAGGAAAGGGGAGAAGCGCCAGCACAGCACAGCTCCCTGGAGAAGGTGAGGGGAAGGTGCCTGAAGCACTCAGCTGGGGAAGTGGCTGGTGTTTGCAACCCATATCTGCCTCCAGGGTTTTGACCAGGAGCAGGATGAGGCCCAGGGGCCGGGGTGAGTGTACCTGCCCACACATGCAAGGAGAGCCCCAGGAAGGTCACAAGGAAAGGGGAGAAGCGCCAGCACAGCACAGCTCCCTGGAGAAGGTGAGGGGAAGGTGCCTGAAGCACTCAGCTGGGGAAGTGGCTGGTGTTTGCAACCCATATCTGCCTCCAGGGTTTTGACCAGGAGCAGGATGAGGCCCAGGGGCCGGGGTGAGTGTCACAGCACACCAGAAGGGACAAGCAGGTGAGGATAAAGCCAGGCCACCCTCCCTGGCTTGTGCAGAGGAGAGCTCCTACCTCTCAGGCACAGGAGGGGATTGTAGTACAGGACAACCCCGATGATGGTGAGAATAGCCAGCAGGGACAGGACCACCACTGCGCCCACGACCCCAATGATGTTCACTGGCTCTGCAGAGAGAAGAGGAGACACAGGAGGCCGGCTTGTCACCGGGACAGGGGTGGATGAGGAAATCTCAGTGCAAGGTCCTGGTGCTGTCTCAGCTCCCCTTTCCCATCACTGTACCAGTCCCACCAGCACAAGGGGCGAGGGTTTCAGGCACTCATGCTTCACCGATACAGAAAGCACCACAGCAAGGCCCCTATTTCTGTGCCCATGTGTGTTTAGTGAACGCAAATCACCCCCTGCCCACTGCACCTTGAGCAGCTTGGCCCTGGGAGGGGCTCCTCTGCACTCACAGGGCCCAGGAGGGACCAAGGATGCACCTCTCTTGGGCCCATCACACCGAGGCGAGGAGAATGAGGCCCTTCCACCCTGGGATGAAGGGAGCCAGGCCTGCAGCTACACTTGCCGCAAGAGCGTGGAAAGCGTCAACAGGCCAAGAGGGCTCTTCATGGCAAACGGAGCCCCTTGGGGGCTTGCCAGTGGCCCCCATGAACTGTGTCCCGAGGGACCAAGGATGCTCCTCTCTTGGGCCCATCACACCGAGGCGAGGAGAATGAGGCCCTTCCACCCTGGGATGAAGGGAGCCAGGCCTGCAGCTACACTTGCCGCAAGAGCGTGGAAAGCGTCAACAGGCCAAGAGGGCTCTTCATGGCAAACGGAGCCCCTTGGGGGCTTGCCAGTGGCCCCCATGAACTGTGTCCCCAACTCTTCCTGATTCCTGGCCACAGCAACCCCACTCACGTGTCACCGTCAGGCAGACGAACAACTCCCGCAGCCCCACGGGGTTCTGTGCCTTGCAGACGTAGCAGCCGCCGTCAGTGCCCTGGGAGCAGTTCCGGATGGTGAGCCGGGACACGTTGCCCTCCTGGGTGATGAGGTACCTCCCTCCGGGCTGGATCTCCACCTCGGGCTGGGCGATGCCCTGCAGCCAGGTGAGCCGCGCTGCCGGGGTGCTCTCGGTCACACGGCACGTCAGGGTCACGTTGTCACCCACAAGGCAGGTTTTGGGGGGCTCTGATTCCAGTGAAGGGATTTCTGAACAGCCCCAGGGGAGAAAAAAAAAGAAAAATAAAGGAGTCAAGGAGCAAATGGAAACATTTAACATAAAAAGCAATCAGCCATCAGACTGATTAATAATCATTAACAGAAGGGAGTCAGGCAGGAGTCTGGGACACGAGCGCTGTGGGTTTGGCATTCAGCTCACTCACAAGACTTCAGCAGCCTTCCAAGGCTCACTTTGTTCTCCCTTTTTTAACACTTGTGCTTCTATCCCCCGGGAAGAGCAGTCAGAGGGCAGGCAGTGGGAAGACGGCAGAGAGGAAAAAGGCAGCCCAGGGATTTCCCTTGTGATCAGCAGAGCTCTTGTGTAGCCCTGACAACCCTTGGAGGATAAATACAGCTCAGGTTTTCAAAAGCCACTTTACTCAGACCCCTTAGATGTCTGAAGGGGGTCTGGGGGCACACACAACCCTTCTTCTGTAAACCCAGCCCTACCAAACTTAATCTCAAGCTGAGCAAGGCACCAAAACCACCTCCTGCTTTCACACAGGCATGAGTGCTTGCACAGGTGAAAAGCTCGGTGCAGGGAGATTCATTGGCCCCTGAAGATGTACCCAAAACTCACCTGCAACTATACCGTGAGGTATCCCAGCTGCAGGAATTCTGTGCCTCATACAGCCACCTCTGCACGAGCCAAGCCTTGCCACATTAGCTTCTCTCCCGCAGCATGTGCCCGCAAACCTGGCTCGCCTGACCACTGCCTTACAGCTCTGGGGGACAGAGAATGACGGGGGTCCCTGTCTGCCCCGCCATTAGCAGGCTCATTAATCGTTAATAAGGTAGGCAAGTCGACTCACTTATCTCCACAGTGCACGCAGGCTCCTCCTGCTTGACAACGTGGCTCCCGACACACTTGAACACTTTGCGGTGGGAGAGGTGGGAGCTGTTCAGTGTTTCCACGTGGGTGTCTGAGTTGCTTGTGGAGCTGATGACCCAGCTGGAGTTGTCCAGATCGTGCCCCTCTTCTCGCCAGTGCAGGGTGGGGTGGGGGTACCCCCCAGGCCAGCTGCAAAACAGCTGCAGCATCAGCCCTGACGAGGAAGTCTCAGCCCAGCACTTTGGGGAGGAGTGCGGTGGATCTATCAGCAAGAAGAACACATGGTTAGAAACATTGCCAAGTCACAGCTCTCGGCATCTTGGGGCTGGAACCCCTCAAGTGGCTGCTTTTGCCACCACTCCCCTTGAAAGTCTTTCTGGTTTCCCTGCCTTGCTCCCCAGCCTGCACCCCACAGCCCTGGGGGAGCACAACTCTGCCTGACAGCCAGCAGGGATGAAGCGGGAGGCTGTCCTGCAAAAGCTGTAACAGCAACTGCAGCCAAGCCTTGAGGGACTAATGCACAGGGAGGAGAAAAAAACATTGTCACAGCTTTATCCAGTGGAGACAAGCTAAGCACCTAGAAACACAGCAGGAGAACAGAATCTCCGTGCTGTCCTTGGCAATTTGTCACAGCACAAGTCCTCACACCTCAGGTACAAGGGGGTGACGCTGATTCACACGACTTGAGAACAAGGCTCTGCCTCTCCACACCACTGATACAAGCACTCGTATTTCGCAAGGGAATGTGGAAAGCATCAGGGCTCTTGCCAAGGGACAAGGAACCAGCTCCTCAGAGCCACCAGCTCAAAGCCAGAGTGCTTCCCCAGCAAGCCCAGCGCGTTGTTGGAGGCGGCTGTCCTTAGGGGACAAGATGCTGCGCCCATGGGGAGTCCTGGTGACACCAGCTCGCAGGGTCAGGGCCATGTGCCACTGAAGCCAAACCAGCATGCTCCACTCCTTCCCAATGCCACTGTCACTGCCAGGAGGGTGGTGAGGCAGTGGCCCAGG